AATCTTTTCTTCCACACCCTCCTCCTTTACTTGTCACCTATGCTTACACAAATTGTCATTCTCTACTGCATCTTGACTATTGGACCACAATAAATTGTCATTTGAAGGAATCTAATTTGTCAATTGAGCCTGAGTAAGTTGTCAACACATGCCTTTTCACTCGACAATTCTGTAACACAGAGTGACAATCTACATAATTGCAATTGTCAAAGGAGATAGAATTAACAAAGGAAGGTGATGACAGTGACAATCTACATATCAGTGAGAGAAAATGGCCAATTCATAATTGCAATTTCTCATCCACACTTTCTCAAGACTTGAATTAATGTGAACATTTTGAGGGATTGGTAGTAATAAAATGTCTCACTCAAGACCTGGGTGTAATTTTCCCAAAACATTACCCAGTCCTTATATTTTTATGGAATTTCTAAGGAGATCCCTATTAATCTCTCCGTCATATCGGTTGGTCCCAGAGACAGAGAATAGAAAGAAAACCGGACCAAGAACTAGCGAGGTTAACCAACACTGATGAGGTGGCTAGTGGGAGCTTACGTGCTTGATGACTAAGCGTACAAATGGATAAATAATGACTCAGTAGATGCTGACTGTACTATGAAACTTCGACGACGACAAATACAATACAGTTGTAGACATTTCATTGAGCGTCCAACATGAAGTTGATCGAATCTTTAAAGGCTTTATATTAGCTTTTGAAAGTGATGTTGTGATATTTTATTTTTAGACGTTTTTCAGAGTTATCAAATTTCCTTTGTGGGTCAGTGGTGGGAGAGTTAGAAGGTTTTTGGTTATGCAAGTAAAGACAAAACTCTTATTACCTTAAATCCATAAAATCACTTTTAAAATATCAATTCAAATGCTCACTTATAATTGGGCATGATATGTTTCTCGTTTCCTTCGTATACGTTAAGCTGAAAAATATGTAAGAAAATTAAATCTGAGTGAGTGAGACACGAACAGAGAAAAAGAGTGTTTAGTCTCAAATCCAAAATCCCAAATACGATCCCGATTCTTAATATAAAAGTTCATTTGACTATTATTTTGTTTCTAAATATATGACATCAATCTACTTTATCTTTTATATTGATCTTTTTTGTAGTCCTTACAATAATGATATTTTTAGTCAATATACTTGATTAATAATGATATTTTAGAAAAGACAACACCTATTTATTACAAATAACTAAATTAATTTTTTTAATCTACTCAAATTAATCAACTTAACTAGCTCTTAATAAGAAAATAATAAAAGCTTTCATGCATCTGGGACAAGAGCTAGACAATGAAGGATGGAAGGGTGAAGTGAAGTGTCACCACACAACAATGGAGGCTTGCATGTCACATTGTCATACCACTTGTTGTTAATATATATACACATGTTAATTATTAATTAATTATATTTTTTATATTTTTTATTATATTAGTAAAAATATGTATTATTAACAAATTTATTACTTTAAATAAAAATATAAATTAAAATCTACCTTTTATATAATTATCACGTTAACTTATATCTTTTTTAGTAATTTATACATGAAAAAAATGTTTCTAATAACAACTATCAGAGCACTCTTACTTTATCAAAATTATTTTTTTTCACAAAATCTATTTCTTCAAAATTTATTCTTAAAAATAATTTTTCTCTAAAAACAATTTTCCAAACCATGGTTTGGTTTTATCTAAATATTGTCTTAGAATATATGTGATAAAAAGCGTTTCTATATAAATCGAGACAAAGTTTTTTTTTCAAATTATTTTTAAAAAGTTAATCTAAATACCCACTTATAATTGAACAAGATATGTTTTCTCGCTTCCTTCCTCCATTTTAAGCTAGAAAATGTGTAGGAAAATTAAATCTGAGCGCGTGAGAGACACAGGCAGACAAAAAAGAGAGTGCCCAGGTCCAAAATATTTGAGAGATGCTAGTATCACGCCGAAGGGGAAAAAAAACGCTTTCATGCGTCCAGGACCAGAGGTAGACATCGAAGGATGGAAGGGTGAAGGGGATTTTTACCAAAATGCTATGAACAGTGAAATAAAATACCAAAATGCTACAGCGCAGAAAGATATTACCGAAATGCTACACTTTAAATTCATCACCAGGAGATGAATTTATAAACTTCATCTTGCCCAGAACGAGTTCTTCAATAAAATGGGAAAATTTGCAAATTCATTTGGTAGAGATGAATTTGTAAAGTTTATCTTTGAGTGACGAACTTCAGAAAAAGTACTTTTGTCCTTTTCTCCCCATTTCCATGCGTATGAGCATCCTCTCCCCGTGCGAATCTCTCATAACCACTTTTGTCTAAGTAAAAAAAGCAACTAAACTCTTTGCATGCGTCTGAAGTTGGGAAGAATATTAATTCATCTCATCTCCCTTGCCCGTGAAGCTACAATAGCATCGTGGCTTACTATATATTTTGCATCTCCTCTTATGCCCATAAATGCGTCTGAATCGTCCGAGCTTTACTTATACATTTTGCATCTCCTCTTATGCCAGTAGCCCATGAATGCGTCTGAGTCCTCCGCATGTTGAGCTTGTGTTCCCACTTCATGTATTCAAACTTCTCTCTTCTCTCTCATCATCTTACTCTCCCGTTTTATTAGTTGCTCCAGCCTCCTCCATTCTTTTGCTGTTTTGTTTCTCTACTCTTACTTCCAAACATTCGACACATATTTTTACTACTGCTGAGGATATGTTACTTCTCTTATGTATTTTTTATTTTGTCATTATAATATTTAATTTGATTTTCTTCTTTATTTTTTATTTGATAAACTATTATTTTAAATCTCCAGGTGCTAAGTGGTGGGTTGAACAATTTCAAAAATCTATACTCTTAGGTGCCTCTTATTTTGCCGGTAAGAATTCTCCATTGTATAGTTTTAAGATCTCAAGATTTTGTTTTGATCTCTATTACCCATTTAGTTCTATTTATAAGGCACTTTTAGTATATTTCACACAGATTAAAAAACCATTAAAATAATTTCACATCCACTATCTCATAATTTGATTATAATAGTAACACTAATCAAGCACAAAAATGTATATTTTCATCAAGTATTTTTTTTCCAAGAGTCAGATCTGTTATGCATGAAAAGAACTAATGGCATAGGAAAAAAAGAGAGTAGAAGAGGTGAATAACAAAAGGAATGAGTAGAGGAGAGTGGAAAAGATGAATAGAGAGAGAGAGAGAGAAGAAGTGGAACATGCAGGAATAATAGCATAAAAAGAAGACAAAATTGAAGGACATTTAGCACTGGATAAAGGAGTAAAAAAAATGTACCAACTGTGCAAATAACTTAATAAAGATAATTATGTATGTTTGTATTAAAAATTATATCAAGTGCCTTATATATAGGATTAAAATTTACACTCTCTCTGTCTTATAAATAAAACTAGAGGAGTATCTTTTAAGTATATGATTTTTTTTGAAATGAATATATAAGAAAAAAATTCATAGCTTTAACTTTTTTTCCCCATATTATTCCTTATTTGCTATCAATTTTCATAATTTTTTTTTGTTTTACTCAATCTTGATAGGTGTGTACTAAAGTAACTAACAATTAAAAAATTATTAAAATAAATCAAAAATTTTAGATATAAAAATAAATCTGAATAATTTTATTCATTTAATTATTTATTGTTTTAAAAAACCGAGGTTAAGAAAAATAATTATAAAAATTTAAATTGTATTTAATGAAATCAAGTAAAATATGTTTATTTACATTTAAACATATTTATAAAATATATATGGGGTAAAACAATTTATAAAATTAAAAGTAACGAAAGAGATGTTTGAAAAAAAGAGAAAATTTCAATTGGAATAGAATAAAGACAGATAAAATTTAACTATCCGCTAAGGGTATTCATGTAGATGAATAATTTCATTTCATTGTGTTTAAATATGTAAGATATTTTAGCTTAATAATAAATCATTTTGATTTGATTCCAATAAATTTTGTTATAAATATTGATAAGAAAAAGATTATAAATTTTTTTAGTACAAATTAAGGAGATTATAAAAAAGATCTATTCAATGGAAGCATGATAAGAAAAAATGTAGGGATTTAGTTAAGCATATTTTAATATTTTTAAATTTATATTTTAGTATTTTGTCCTTATAAATAATTATAATTTTTAAGATCCTTCTCAATAAATATTATTTTTCTAGGTCCTTCCCCCTAATTTTTTCTTAAAATAATATAATTTTTACCTATTTAGTAAATATTTTGGATAAAATAATGAGAATAAAATATAATATAAAAGTAAATTTTTATTAATAAGAAAACAGGTGGCAATATTTTGTTAAAATTTTTTCATTAATAAAAATGAATATCATAAAAAATTTAATTTTTAAGAATCTATAGTATACATAGATTTGATATTACTTTTAAAACTATTATAAATTTAATTAAAAGGTACAGAATGAATCAAAATAAAATTATAATACATATATATATATATATATATGAATAATTTTTTTAGCACTAGACTTAAACCTATGCGAACTATGCATGAAAAACCATGATTTGTGAGTCTTTCTATTTTCAAAGTTTTGTCTTCTCCCAGTTGTACTTAATTAATGATTATAATGTAATATTTAGGAAATAGAATGGATCATAAAAAGGAGTTCGTATGTATATTTGCAAATGGACGAATTTATAATGGCCAAGCCGGTACAACATTTGAATCCAACAGCGTGAAAATAATCAAAGTTGATGAAAATATTACATTGAACAAATTGAAGCAAATTATTGGACAAAAGTTATGACTTCCTCCCAATCAAATGGTGACAAATCTAGTATATAGATATCCTACATACATAAATCCACCACAATACCAAGCATGCAATTTGGAGGATGATGCAGATATAAAAGAAATGTGGCAAGTTAGAAGAAGATTTTCAACTCAATTGACATGTGCAGAATTGTATGCTAACATATGTAATTTTTCAGATTATGGTCATGTAGAATCACAACCAATGGATGATTGTGTGGGAAATACACTCCCGTTAAGTAGCAATGAAGTGAACATTATGGAACAAGGGTCCATGTTCAACAATGACATGGAAAATTTTCAACCATTTGAACCTCCCATGGATGGTGGCAACAATGGACCATCATGCTCTTTTCCTCAAATAGAAGACATTGTGGATGAATTTGAGGATGAAGATGAATATGATTCATATTTAGATGCCAGTAGTGGGAGTGATAATGATGACAACAATAATGAATATGATGATATGAACAAGCAGAATGAGCTTGCAACTGCTTTCTTATCACAAATTCACGTCGAGTCAGCTAGAGCTCCTGAGTTTAGTGAATTAGATAATATTCTAAATGTTGGGGATAATGAAGAATTATATATTGGAAAAATATTTAGCAATGTCCGTGTTCTAAGACGTGCAGTGAAGTTATACTCTATTCGAGTTCATCATACATTTAGGGTTCACTATTCATGTAAAAAATATGAAGAATATCATTGTATTAATTATGGACAAAATTACAATTGGAGAATGAGAGCTTGCAAGAAAGAAAGCAGAGACTTTTGGGAGATCACGAAATATGGGGGCCCTCATACATGCTTGAGTACATCATTAACTTTAGACCATTCAAAATTAGATGCTGATGTTATATCATCTTGTATTGTGGCAATGGTAACTGACAAGCCAGATGTGCAAGTGTCACAAATTATTGAAATAATGCAATCCATATTTGGTTACACTGTATCATATAGAAAAGTATGGAAAGCAAAACAGTTAGCAGTTGCGATTGCTTTTGGGAATTGGGAGATCTCATATTCCTTACTCCCAAGGTGGTTAGCTGCAGTTCAACACTTAATGCTTGAATCATGCATATATTTTTCAAATAAACAATTCCCTGAAGTTAGTACAAATGATCAACCAGTTGAAATGTTTCATCGTGTTTTTTGGGCATTCAAGCCATGCATAGATGCATTTTCTCACCTCAAGCCTATTGTACAAGTTGATGGAACATTCTTATATGGAAAATACAAGGGCACGTTACTTATGGCAGTATCACAAGATGGTGACCGAAATGTTATACCACTTGCATTTGCTATAATTGAAGGGGAGACAAGATCTGCTTGAGCATGGTTTTTATAGCTTGTGCGCCAGTGTGTCATAAAAGAAAGAACAGGAATTTGTTTAATTTCAGATAGGCATCGTTCAATTTTGGCCGTTGTTGCTAATCCCCAAGTAGGATGGCAACCACCACATGCATATCATGTTTTTTGTTTACGGCACGTGGCTTCAAATCTTCACAAAGCACATGGAACAAATTGGTTGAAAGAGAAGTTTATAAATATTGGTGAGATTCCTTGTGCTTTTTATGATTTTATGACTACATGATTCTATAAAAATTCTAACAAGCTAATATTTTTCTGTAGGGTATGCCTACGAATGTCATGTTGTTGATCAACAATTAGCAGAGATAGCATTGCACCATGCACCTGCAGTAAGATGGATTAGAGCCATCCCAAAAGAGAAATGGTCGTGTGCATATGACCTTGAAGGCCGTCGCTTTGGACACATGACAACTAACCTTGCAAAGTGCATGAATAGTTTATTTAAAGGTGTTTGAAACCTGCCAATAACTGGTTTAGTTAAGGCAACTATGTATAGAGTCAACAACTATTTTGTCAAACGTGCCCAACAAATTCGTGCACAAATTGCAGTTGGTAAAGTATTCTCTGAGACAATGACAAAGAAGTTAGACATAGCAACACAAAATGCTTCTGCGTATGTTGTTCGAGAATTTGACAAAATATCAACATCATTTGAGGTTGTGGAGCCCTACAATGTTCAATGTCATCAATTTCGTCGATGTTGCAAGGTTAGCTTGATTGAAAAAAAATGCGATTGTGGGGAGTTTCAAGCAGAAAAGTATCCATGCATGCATAGCATTGCTGCATGTGCACAAGTAGGCATAGACCATTTGCAATACGTGGATCTTGTTTTCATATTAGACACCATGCAAATAGCTTATAATAATAAGTTCCAACCAATAGGTGTCTTATTCTAATACCAAACCCATCAATGATTCGAGAAAAAGGACGTCCTCGTTCAAGTCGCATATGTAATGAAATGGATTAGATCACTCCCAACCAACCTAACAAGTGTGCATTGTGCCGATAAGTTGGTCATAACCGTTCTACGTGTCCACAAAGTGTAGCATCCAAACAATAAATTATGTAGTTCACTTGTTGTAATAAATCATTATGTTTTGTGAAGATTAGACTAATAATTACTTTGATTATCTATTATGTTATTTTTAAATTTTTCTTTAATTTATACAGAGACGTTTTAAAATGGCACAATCTCCAGAAGAGATTATCACCCTTGGCCCAAAGGATAACTCTCTTTTATAAATCCAACCTCAACATATTTCAGAACGTGTGTGGAATGATAATGTAAGTAAAATCTATTTACTATAGATTATAAATTCTATGCTTCGATACTAAACTTTTTCCTTTTCTTTCTATGATAGGTTAATAGAATCCTACATACTAGACGAGTGATGCACACTAATAGAATGATTGACCCACCCAATCAAATTATTGAATATATTATATTAACCGGATTTTATGGTGCTACTAGAGTAGGACAATTTGAATACGATGGAGGCTTGGTCTCAGCACTTGTTGAGAGGTGGCGTCCTGAAACTCATACATTTCACACTACACGTGGAGAGTGTACCATAACATTAGAGGATGTAGCTATACAATTAGGCCTTCCATGCACAGGAATGGTTGTCATTGGGCGTACGACTATAACTGGCTAGACATTTGTGAATGGCTTCTAGGCGTTAGACCACCTGCAGATAGACTACATGGGCAATGACTACTTATAAGTTGGTTGGAAGAGCAATTTAATGACTTACCCGATGATGCAGATGATTTACAAGTTCAACAATTTACTCGTGCATATATCCTCAGGTTAATTGGCGGCTACCTCTTACCAGATAGATCGGGTCAAATAGTATATTTAATGTACCTCCCACTACTCTATGATCTACAAGAAGTTGGAAAGTATAGTTGGGGATCGGCAGTTTTAGCTCACCTTTATAGAGAATTATGTAATGCTACTAATCCAACTGAGGATGGGATTGGAGGATGCTTATCACTGCTGCATTTATGGGCATGGGATCACTTCCCCATGCTAGCACCACAACGACCTGTGTATCCAGATTCGCACTCTAATATCTATCCTTTCTTACCTCCATTGGGTTTTAGGTATGTAAAATTCACTTAACAACTATTTGATATGCACTTATATTATTTAAATTATATGATTTTTAACATTACTTTTTGTAATAACAGGTGGAAGAATGTGAGACAGAATGCCCGTCCACTTACGTCTCTTTACTCCGATATAGGAGTTTCCTGGATAAAATGGTTGATGACGAGATAATTTGGCAGCCATATGAATCTACTGAAGTGCGCCAATTAATTCCAGAGTATTGTTTGACTACACCTGAAATTTGGCGTGCCTCAGTTCCTCTGATATGTTTTAATATTATAGAATGGCATCATCCTGATCGTGTATTAAGGCAATTCGATTGTCAGCAACCAATTCCTGCCACGCCTATTCATTTGCGAAACTACCACACAATGCAACTACGAGGCAGAACTACAAATTGGATTGACAAATACTTAGACTTTATTCAAGCATGGGATGGATGGCCACATGCAGTTATTAATGCTCCTATGACACTTGATGAACTTGATCGAACATCTCAATATATGCAATGGTATTGGAGACATACAAGGCGATGGATCCAACGTATTAGTGGTGATACAGGTTGCGCGGTATGTTTTTCTTCTTTTTTCACCAATACCATTTTTTCTCATACTAAAAGTGTTATAACCGATATCTTATTATTTATTTCAGTCTGACATAGCGGAGGAGTTATATAGGCTATCCATAAATTCTCGTTCAACATGCCCTAATTGCATTGATTATCGAGATAGGGTTGCTCAAGACCAACGCAACATTTTGCTTGTTCTTAGAGAACAATGTTTTAATATGAATTCCCAACCTGCTCCACTAACAATTGAGTTGTCTTGCCCACAAATTTCTCGAGATAGACTAAGCAAGTGACGTGGGGGTTACTTGTCAACACAACCTATAATTGAAGATGAAAACATCAGGGAACAGGAGCCTCTAATTTTTAGTCAAGCTGATCACCATCATCCCCTTTATCTCTCTCATTCATATACAATTTGAGCCTCATTACATGACACCCTCATCACCGTCCCCTTCTGACTCAGCCAATCCTTCTCAATTTCAATCGTTCATGACCTTATTAGATAATCCATCAGTATTTTCTGCTGAATATAATGCTTCTACTTTTGAGCATGGTGGACTATCAAATGAAGCATTTATCACCCCTCGACAGTCCATACATTTGAATGAGTCACCTTGGTTTGATTTGAACACGCCAACTACACAAACAAATGAGACACTTCAATCTCAAGAAGCCAACATGCAGCAACAACAACGGCCACAACGTATGCGAAGGAGAATAAGGTGTGGTACCGGAAGTCACCTTTTGTAAGGTAGATTATTATTATTTTTCATTCATGTAAACTTAACTATTATTTGTTATTAATTATTTTTTACAAAATCTATTCATTACTTTTTTATTTTAAATTGATACATCTTATTAGTTCATCCTAATTTCATAATCATTATTAGTATTATTAATATTATATAATATCCTCTAATTAATAATTATGATTTTTCATTCCAATAATTGTTTACTCATTATAGTGAAATTTGAAATTGTTCCTTAAAAGATGAATTTTTATATTGATTTCTAGAAGATGAACTTCCACTGCAAGTATGATGAAAGATATGAACAAATTATTCTTTTTGTGGATGAATTTTGGAAAATTTTCACTTAAAGATGAATTTTGAATATAACATTTTAGTAAATCTTTTTAAAGTATAGCGTTTTGATAAAAAAATTTTACTGTTTATAGGTCAACAGTAAAAAAGCTTGCATTCTTGGGAAGGATGATTGAGACGTATGGGTAAGGCAGAAAATGTTTTTTTTAAAATGTGTTATCAGTCTTGGGAAGAATGTATCATTTTGAAAATTTCTTTTTAATTTTAAAAAAATATTCAGATATTCGTACGGAATGGAGGCAGAAGAGGACAAAAGTGGCCTAGGGGCTCTAAAATTCATCTACCAAAGATGAACTTCTAAAATTCACCTCTACCAGATGAACTTCTAAAATTCATATCCACCAAATGAATTTGTAAATGTCTCAGTTTATTGAAGAAGTTGATTAGGGCAAGATGAAGTTTATAAATTCATCTCCTGGCGATGAATTTCAAGTGTAGCATTTCGGTAATATCTTCCCACGCTGTAGCATTTTGGTATTTTATTTCACTGTTCATAGCATTTTGGTAAAAATCCCAAGGGTGAAGTGAAGTGTCACTGTGTCAGCACACAACAATGGAGGAAGGCATGTCACACCACTTGTTGTTACCATCACTTCGATTTTTAAACTACGGAGTCTTTTTCGGGTTCTATCTCAGTCGATCTAGCTGCTCTATCTCCTTATCGTCTTCATCGCACGATTTCCGCTTGATCTTCAGATTCAGAAGCTCCGGCTAACTCTGCGTTGGTCCTTGGTTTTGTTTTCAGTTCTTCAGGGACGAACGGCTATGACAGAGAAATCAACAAGGAGTTTATTGATAAAAACAAAAGTGTAAGGACTTAATTACAAATTCCATGAAAGTATGAGGACGTGTAAATGTCTACATGGCAGTGAGGATGCTACACTTCAGCGCCAGGCATTGTTCTATTGGCGTGCCGGGCATCTGGGGTTCCATCTAGGAGAAAACAGCGCTCACATTTTGCCAACCAAGCATCCACATCAGTTGCTGAAAAAGTAGGAAAATCAAGTTTGGTGTGCCTAGTTGGAACATGGTACTCACCATCACGTTGATCCCCACGGCCCCTTCCACCATGCGTTTGCACTTCAGCGAGTTGGAGAGACCTCCGTCTCAACAGGTCCGGCAATCCTGTTACTTGGTTTTTCAGTTCCTATACACCTTATAGTTGTGTTTCCATACCAGCGAATCGGGTGTCAATTTCTGTCTTGATCCTATCCTCTAGTTCCTTCAACTGCATCTGAGCCCGCGTATCGTCCGCCATTACCCAGATCGTTCACTGCTCTGATGCCAATGATAAGTCTCAAACAGAAAATTGAGGTTGAGAAGGAGAAGACAGGGACAGGAGGGAAGTTCTGGTTTATTCATAACATAGAAACTGAATGATACAACTGAATTACAATATATGGTGTTTACACCATGACGTAACCGCGTAACCTCTATGCAGTAACCAACAACAACATAAAAAGACTTAAATACCTCTAATATAATTTTATATCTTATCATGCGGCAGGGGACGAAGCCGGCGGCGCCGAAGTGTTAACCGGAAGCTGTTTCAGCACCGGCAATCGCGACACCGGAACGAAGATAGTGTCAAATTCTCGGAAATTTTTACGGTTAGCATCAATTATTGACTGCGGTTTTGATCCAAACATGGTGGCGATCGACGATACGTCATCATTCGGTTGAACCACGTAGGAAATCAGGATGTTCTCTCCGTTTCGCAATTGCATCGTGTTAGGGCACTTGCAGAACACAGGGAACACGGCGCTAACACCGATCGTCAAATTCTCCGGGACGAGGGTGGGGTTCACGACTTCTACGGATTGGTAGGTCGTGAGGTTCCTGTAGCTAAACGAGGAGACTTGGTAGAACGTGTCTCCTTTCTTGATGGTGTAGGAGAGATTGGCGTAGGAGATGGCACCGAAGGTTGAGTTGATGAAGTTGCAGGAGCAAGATAAAGGAACGAAGAGGGGTTGGTTTGGGGCTAAAGTTGAATTAGGAGGAGAAATGTTGCTTGCTTCTGCAATCATGGAACCACTAACGGAGAAGAGGACACCAATGGAGGCGAGGTCGAGGAAATTAGGAGCTGAAGCTCGGTAAAAGGCGTAGGTCCGGCACGGGTAGCCGGAGCCAGTCTGGTTAGCGGAGCACTGGTAGCCGGTGGTGTCGGGTTGCATCATGTCCTGAGCTTGTGAAGGATGAAGAAGATGAAGGAGGAAGAAGAAGAAGAAGAAGAAAAGAGAAAAATGGAGGGGCATGGAGTTTCGGATTCTCATCATTTTCTGTTTGTATCTTCCTGGTTTTGGGGTTTTCTGGTGCTGATTGTTGCTTTGACATTGGTTGGGTTGTGAGGGGGTTTATATGGAGGAGGCGGAAGAAGGAGGTGAGGAAGAAGAATGGAGTCACAGAACAGAAGGAAGCGTGGTCAACATTTTAGTCAACCGGGTGTCGCTGTCACGTGAAGAAACTTGAATTCGACTAATTCGGTTTGCTAGTGTGAGACTGTGAATAGAATGTAGAGTGGTTATAGACTTTGTGGTATTCATATCAGCTTGAGTGCTGACGTTGGAAGATCACGTTCTCACATTTAAAATCATTTATAACTATATTTTATGTAAATTATGATAAAACTTATTTAGTATATTTATCTCCTATTTTATAAATGACTTCAAAATAAATGACTATCAAAAAGCAGTTTATAAATCATTCTAAACATGTCACGAATCTAAGTTCTCTAGCATCCAATACTTACTCTGATACTCCTCTTACGTTATTCATAGGACATTTATAGCTTGAATATAAAATGTACGCCTCATTATTATTATAAAATACACTTACTAGAAATGAGCAATTAAAAATGTAAGTTAAATTTAGTTAAAAGCAATAAATGTGTAAGATATATACATGTATTTTTAATTATACCCTTATTTGTAAAAAGAGTAAATGAGAAATAATGAGTGAAGATTTATTGTTGAGAGATAATATATTTAATGGAGATAAAAGTGAAAAGACAAGTTTAGACAAAGATGATTTATTTCTTATATTTAGAGACACTGTTATGAGAGAGAGTGTTTCTTATAAAAACAGATAAATCGAGTATTAATTTTTTCTTAAAATATAACAAATTTTCAACCTTATCCCATTTAATATATATATATACACTTTTTTTATAAAAAAAATATCCATACTACAATAAATAAAAGAGAAAAAAATACATTCATGTTAAAACTTAAATGAAATGATTTATAAATGAGACCCGAAAGAACTTTCTTCCTCTACTACATTCTTTTTAAATAAAAAAGTATACAATATTTAAAATTATATGTTAAATGTCAAGTGTTATTATTTTTAAAATGATGTGATATGTAATAAAAGACATACAGATTTTTATATGGCAAAACCATTACCCCTTGCTTGGATTGAGAGAAAATTAGGAAGGACAGAAAACTAAAGAGGATAACATGAGGAGAAACAAATTTTTTCTTACTTGGATAGAAGAGAAAATGTGGGAGAAAAAAAAAGTGGGGGAAACAATAAAGTAAGCCCCATGCCTCATTTTCTCTTCAAATTTTCTCTCCATATATGGGGAGATTTGGGAAGAAAAACAAGAATTCTAATACTGCCCCTCTTCTCTCTTCCTCTCCATATTTATTTTCTTTTATTATATTTAAAAATTTATTCACTTTTTAGTTTTTATCTTAAAATAATATTTTTATTAAATAATTTGGTTTTAAAATATAATAATTTAAAAATATATATAAACCCAATGACTTGATTTTAAATTATTTGATGATGTTAATGTTAATATAATTTTTCTATTACAAAATTTAATTTAATTTAATTTTAAATATGATAAATTTTGATAAGGATATTTTAGTCATTTAGATATTTACTAATTTTCTTTCCTTTCTATTTCTCTCATCTATCCAAGCAAGAGGCATGATAACATCTTCCCTCCAGTTTTTCTTTCTCTCTATTTTATCTCTTCCTATTTTCTTTCCTCTCAACTTTTCTTCTCATCCAAGTAGAGTATTAACGTAAATGTTGGGGGAGTTGAAGTAAAAATATAAAACATTAGGATATTAAATTTAAATTTTGAAAAATTAAAGAGGTTGTATGCTCAACTAAACTAAAGCTTAGGAAAATGTACTGTAGCCTATTTTATATTGATAAACTTTGATCTGATTTAAAAGGCTTGAACGATGTGACAATTTTTTTAAGTGGCAAAAAGAGAAAAATTATCCATAATTTTAAATTAAAAATGTAAATATAAATAGATTGAAAAATATTTTATATTTACGTTTCAAAATTATGTATTTATGGATCTAGTTACCTCATTTACAAATAAAATTTAACAATTTATATTTACAAGACAAACTTTGATATCTATATTTATATTTATAAGACACTTTCATATTTATAAGTTGAGTTGTATGCTGGTAAAAGAAGTTGAGTTATATGGCAGTATATAAGTTACCCTTCTAGTTATATTCTTACAGTTAAGAGAGAGTATTTTCTGTTTTTAATATAAGTCACATTATTAAAATTATCATATGAATTTATAGTTTTACTTTTAATATATTTTTTTTGCCCTTTTTAGTTCTCACCGAAAAACTAAAAAATAATTAAATTTTAGGAAAGAGTTAAACATATTTAAATTTTTTTAATTCTGATAAAAACATATTAAAAATACAGATTTTTTACCTATTAATATTTAATTTTCTTACATAATACCATTTCTAAATTTTTTTTCCCGAGAATAAGATGTGATAACTCATAATCATAAGTAATTATGATAACCTTGGCGAGGTTTTAGACATTTATTGGAGTCGCCGGAAAAAAGAAAAAGAAAACCTAAGGGCCTGAACGGGTCACACTAATAGGTGGCGTTCATCCACTGGCTGCTGCAAACAGCAGAGAGCCTGGCCCGTAAGTAATTACCGCCTGTGACTACGTACTACTCCGCTAATCAAGCAAGCGGCTTGAATATTCTGGGATGGTGGGCCCAGCAAAGGGACGCATTTAATTAAAAATTTAAAATTGCATTAAAAATCCAATATATTAAAATTTTGATAAAAAAAGTCATGAAATTGATGAGATATTGTTATTTGTTAATTAACGACTTAAATGGACGAATTAATTAATTAAATTATTGGAGGGATATAGTCATCCCGACGTCCGCTTAGGCCAAATGGATGGGAAGTGAGACCGTTTGATACGCAGGCAGCAAGCACAGGAAAAGGACATCGCTAAAAAAATATATTTTTCTTCTTTTGGCCAATGCAAAATTAGTTGGAAGATTTCCATTAAAATTACAATTTAAACATAAATATTAAAATTATGGAAAATTATATTATATCTACAAATTATGAATTATAAGGCTCTCTCTAATAAATGAAGTAAAACAAATGTTTGTGTCATTTAGAGAAAGGAGGATTAATACAAAGTTATAAAAAAGGACAGTAATGGCTAAAAAGTTCAACAACTAAGTATAGTAAAAAATGACAACATATTTCAACTAATCACTTATTGTTAGGACTTTTTAATTATCATTTTTTTAGAATCTCACAATAATTCTTCTTCCAGAAAATCACATAAATTTTAATCCTTTATATTTTTAATTTTAAAAGTGTTGCGAATATTTAATATAGTGCATAAAGATTAAACAATTAAAATATCGATGTTCATGGATAATCTAATAAGATAAAATATATCACGTTGCTTGCAGGCTATTTTTATATTAATGCATTTAGGTCTAAATATAAAAATTAGTTGGGAATTTAGTTTGATTTTAAATATAAAAATCGAATTCACTTTATCTCCCATATTTATTTATTTATTTTTAAAGTAGTTTTCATGATAATTGTACATATTAAAATATTTTCATTCTAATGCACATGACCAATAAGGATATTTTAAGAAAGATAACATCTATTTATTACAGATAACTAACTTAACTATTTTTTTAATATTTACAAATTAACTATCTACCTCTAATATTAAGGACGCGGGTAGTCTCATTTACTATGCATGTTAAAAATTTGCTTACTTAATATATATACTAATATACTACAAGGACCATGACATATTAAGTTTTTTGACCATATTAAAATATATTAATAAGTATTTGGACAGAAATCAAACTATAAATTTTTTTAAAAAAATTATGATATACGAAATCAATATGTGAAAAAATTTTATTTTGATCAGTATAAAAACATTTTTTAAAAGTGCATTTTGTTTCACCCAAGTACCTTAAGACAAATTTTTGCCATGTAGAAAATGGCACACGGAACAGATGATGTCATAAATTTATTGGAGGGTCACAAATTTTGGTGTCATAATACTACGTAACATGCAAATACGCTATGAAATTACCCCTTCACAGACGTTAAGGTTTTAAAAAGAGTCATGCTATTGTTTTTTTGCTTCTTTTCACACACTTTAATTATTTTCTTTTTCATCCATTAAACGAAACTCACACCCCCACCCAAAGATTAAACATATAATCTCGTATTTAGATAAAATTTCAAAAGATGTTAAGTGTCAATTGAGCATACTTTTAACTATTTTAATATGTGGACTATGTAAAATTTGAAATATAAGTCATGATATTATTAGCTTATGAATAATATGTCTTCTCAAATTATCTTTAGATTGCATATCATTCCCAATTTGAAAATATATTATAAAAAATGAATTCAATATCACTTTCTATTTAACTCCCACACAATGGCGGGTTAATTGAGATTAATCCATATTACTTAATACTATATTAAAGAAAATTAAATAAATTATTTATTTATATCATATGATTTAACCTCCTTAAAATATCATTGTTATAATGTTAAATTATATATTAGTTTATTTTTTGGCAAAAAAATTATATAGTAGTTTATAATTTAGACAAATTAATTTAAAAAATAATAAATATGAGAGATAAAATAAATAAAGATACTATATTTATGATTCGATTCAACCTGGAATTATATCCTTATGGTTTCAAAACATAAGCATTAAATTTTTGGAAGGGTTTGCTTAATTTTATTAGATACAGTTTGAATTTATCCAATCATTTAATTTATTTATCTTTTATTTGTAATTAATTAGATGTCTCTCTCATATTTTTTTTTTCACTTATTCTCTCCCATTTTTTTTACACATATTCTTTCTCCCACTT